AAATAGTAAATCTAAGCTTCGCAGTCAGGTAGGTAGTCACAATGTCCTTTAAAATTGAGGCACTCATCCAGGTGCAGTCCCAAGAATGTTGTGCTCTCACTGATGGGCAGGGCTGAATTATCCAATGTAAGTTGCAGGGGAGGTATTGATTTTTGGGCATTGTGGAATCTGATTGCTGTTGTTTTTTCACAGTTTAGATGCAGCTGGTTCTCCATGAACCAGCTATTGATGCTATGTAACAAGCTGTTACAGTCGTTAATTAGGATAACGTCATCTTTATTTGATAAAATAATCGATTGGTCGTCCGCGTATAAAGTAAAGTGTGCTCTGGGGAAGGACTACTCAAGAGTATTTACATATAATGCAAACAGAACAGGCCATAACACAGATCCTTGTGGAACGCCAACATCCATATTTATCGCACTAGAATTGACTTGTATTAGTCCTGAGCAGTTATGAGTTATTGTCACATACTGCGATCTGTTTTCTATGAAGGATTTTATCCAGAGTTAGGCTGGTCCACAGATTCCATAAGTTGCCAGTTTTACTAATAACAGATCATGGTTGACACAGTCGAATGCCCTGCTTAGATCACAGAAGATACCAACAGGGCATTCTCCTGCCTCAATGTACTGAACTAGCGTATTGAAATAAGAATGAGATGCTGTTAGTGTTGATCCACCGTTACGGAAACCACGTTGGTTGGATGTTAGTACCTCATTTCTTTCAAGGAACAGCGTCAACCGACTCAAGAAACAATATTCGAAATTTTTGGAAAAACAACAGGGAGACGTCACCGGTCTGTAATTTTTTGGGTTAATAGTTTCTCCCTTCTTGTGTATGGGAGTTACTTTTCCCATTTTTAAGCTGTCTGGAAAAGAGCCAGTACAGAAAGAGAGATTGATCAGAAAAACAAAGGGCCTAACAATATATACCAAAACGTTCTTTGTATCACAAAATGTCAGTTAAAGACGACGAAGCAATCGTGACGTCGGTCAAACACATAGATTTATAAAACAAAATGGCTGAACACAATCGTGCTTTTTTGCTGATGACCAGCTGATGATATACCGTTCCAAAATTTGAATTTTTACCGCGCTTGATTAAAAATATTCTAGTAAAGCTTGTTTATCATTATTCAGAGGAGTTTCTAATAAAGTTGTTATTTACGGGAATGAAACATGATGTAAAGTGGCAATTTGAAATATCTGAACATGGAATATTATTAGAAAAGTCATACAAATATACTAAGTGACATATAAATCCGAACACCCAGTTTAAATGGTTTTATTTTAATAAAAGTTGGTGAATGTATTTATCTTACTGTAAATAACAAGTGAAAATATTTTCAGCCTTATCAGTTGGACATTCCGGTTTTTATACTGCTTTTTTTAATTCACTAACGCTCTAAAAATGAATATTTCAGCCGCAGTAAAGAATCAACGTTGGCGGATTTTGGTTCTTGACATCCTGTACGATCGGTTATGATGCCTATAGTACGGAGACCTGTACGATTTCGTCAACTTAGTGAGTTTGATAGGGGCCGTATAGTGGGACTTCGGGAAGCTGGACTTTCTTTTCGGGCAATTGCAGTTAGAGTGCAAAGAAGTGTAGACACTGTGGTTAGATGTTGTCAGGCATGGCTTCGAGAACGCCGTACGCAAATAGCAAGGGGCACTGGACGCCGCCGTAGAACAACAGACCGTGAAGATGGCTTGTTTTCATACCGGCCACACTGGGTCCTCCCTTTAACTCGAGAACACCGACGTAATCGCCTTGAGTGGTGCAGACAACGGTCACGCTGGGATCAGGAATGGAACAGTATTGTCTTTAGTGACGAGTCTAGATTTTGTTTAGGCATGCACGATGGTCGTGCCAGGGTTAGAAGGCGACGTGGTGAAAGGAGGAATCCACAGTTTTTTGTTGAAAGACATGTTCATCACACTGTTGGAGTTATGGTTTGGGGTGCTATAGCTTATGGTTCCAGGTCACCTTTAATCTTCATCAGAGGTAACATGAACGCGCAGCGTTATATCCACGAAGTTCTAGAACCCCATCTTTTACCCTATCTTGACACCCTGGCAGATCCAACTTTCCAACAAGATAATGCACAATAGACTTCTTTCAACATAATGATGTCACATTGTTACCATGGCCACCAAGATCTAGCGACTTATCCCCAATTGAGCACGTGTGGGATATGATGGGTAGGAGATTGCTCAATTTGCAACGTCCTCCTCAGACTCTAGAAGCAGTTCGAGAGGAGTTGGTGGTTGCCTGGAATGACATACCACAGGAGGACATTGACCACCTGATCAGAAGCATGCCTAGGCGCGTTGGAGAATGCGTAGCACATCAGGCTGCATCCACACATTATTAAAGGTCAAAGGGCTTTAAAGCAGTGCAATCATTTTGAAATTTTTATCATTTACTTATTATGTTTCATTAAGTACTTATACAAAATTTTATTAAAATAAAACCATTTAAACTGGGTGTTCGGATTTATATGTCACTTAGTATATTAACAAGATATTTTTGGTCGGAGAATTCCCGATACTTCTTTATAAATAACAGTAAGTAGTTATTGGTATTTGCATATCTAATTTAGCTTACTCTTCATTAAAAGTCTACATTTTCTGTGTAAGTGTTGATTTATCAGTAATGACTGTCCTAAGAAAGACGTCAGTCAAAATGGCTGCCTTTTGGAGGACGCCTTGTTGTCATAAAAAAAGCGTCAATAAAGACCCCATTTTCCAGAAAATGACCTTTCCGATCAAAAGCGACCAATATAATGACGTCATTTTGGCGTAATGATGTTCACTGGTTAGGTTTTATATAAACACGCGATAGTGGACCACCTGTACCACGAGCGGGGCCCGGGGCTGCAATAATAGTCATATCGTTATGCTGAAGGATGAAGCCGGTGGTCGGCAGCGTTGTTATCAGAATGGTGTGCTAACAGCGCATCGTATCGAGTATTGTTATAAAAAACCGTTCATTAAAAACAACATTTCGGAGACCATTTGAGTCAAAGTAAGTTGAATGTCACCTGGAACCGCACCTGTTGAAGGTAGTACACGTCTAAGAGTGTTCGAATAATACCCAAATATTAAATCATTTCAGTTGCTTTTTTTAATATACCTAAGGTGTGCACAGTGACTGACACCTATGCCAGACTTTCTTTCAGACATAAGGACTACTTGAACTTCATTTTTGTTCCATATATAGCATTTTTAGTATCTTGGGTTCGCTTCTTCGATATACAGGGTGTCCGCAAAGTTGGGGTTTTCCTTTTCAGAAACAACTACCCTTGAAATAACAAAGGTAATGTGTAGTGAAACGAGGGCGACCAAGTAAAAAAAAATAAAGGAAAAAGTACTCACTCTCCAGTTGACGAGAAGGGCTAAGTACGTCTCTGCCCGAAATCATACCGCTCCAACAGAAAATGAAATCAGCTGATGCCCTACCGAGCAGACGCAGGCAAACAAGGAAGGCAAAATGTTGCGTAATGACCAAACATGAGTGTTGCGAAAGTTATTCACCCCATTACGCGTGAACGTAGATTCCTCTGTCACCAATATGCACTTCAAAAAGTCCGGAGTATTGTCATGTTGATGCAACAACCACTCACAAAATCGCACTCTTGCTGGAAAATCGTCAGGTTGAAGGGCTTGTACACGTTGGACGTGAAACGGATACAGCCCCTCTTCACGCTGCGTTTGCCACACTTTAGTTTTTGATACTTGCACTTCTCTAGCCACGTCTCTAGTGCTTGTTGTTTTTTGAAACGCAATCGATTATATGGGTTCGTTTACCTCTACACGCGTGACCGTAACCGTCGGTTGCATACTAACCTGACACACTGACCCCGACCCAGTTCTGCCGTCGGGTTGAGACCTTGTACCAATCGGTGATGTCCCGGGTCGCGGCTACAGGACGGTATTCAGATATTTTTGATGTTGCAGAGCCCTTTATCTCGGTTCCCTTAAGACATTGGTGTACCTATATGGTACTAAGAAAAATTGCTTATGTTTTCAAGATCTACACGTCGTGTAAAGGAAAACCCCAACTTTGCGGACACCCAGTATTTAATTATCATAAAGCAGCCACAGACCACAGAATTGCATGGAACTTGAAGATATCATGTATCTCGATTTTAGAACTGCATAAAGCTCGTATCAATACTAGAATAGAACTAAAACTTCCCCTGTCTCTCTGATCTATATCCATATTTTTCTGGACATCCTTCTATTTCGGCAGTCTTTTTCGCAGCACAATGAGAAGTCTAAATTTCAGAGCTTTGAAATGTTATAACCATAAGAGTATAAGAGCGGAAGCTAAAGAAACCAGAATACACCGCGCCATCTAGCAAGTAGTAGTTGAACGGGTAGGTGCTAGACTCTACACCTTTAAGAGAATTCAGCAAATAATCACCATAAAACCATTCGGTACCATCTATAAGTCGAGATGAGAAACTCAATTTCAAGTAGGCTAGAAATCTGTAAGCGCTTGTCTGTGATATACCCTAATAAACAGATTGATAGATGTCACAACATGCTTTCTTATGGTGCTATCTCTCAGTTACATATTAGACTAATGTTTTCCATGTGTGAAATCTATAATTAAAAGCCTAGCTTAGAATCACCACTCAAAGATGTCGCTAGCTGAGACAAAAATGATTGTAACGTAATACTGGACAATGGAGAATGGACACAATCAGGACACAATCAATTAGTAATCCCTCTATACCACTTATATACATAGGCGTATTTTTTAATTCACCGGTTGAGCTACCGGTGCAACCAATTATCCAATTTTACTTCCTTTAATTTCCGTCTGAGCGACAGGTTGTACAATAAACTTGTCTACATACTTTATAGACAATTTTGGTATACAACCGGTCGCTCAGACGGACATTAGAGGAAATAAAATTGGATAAATGGTTGCCCCGGTGGCTCAACCGGTGAATCAAAAAATACGCCTCATTACTCTTCAATTATGCTTTATGTTCCATGCGGAGAATATATAACAGTTCCATGTTTGACATTGCGCAGACGTAACAACAAAGTAAAATTCAAATTTAAAAATGAAACTTATTTTATTTTCTGCAATTTACAAAAATAAGTTGGGCCATAGTTCTGCGATGGTTTGGGTAAGACTAGGTGCCCATATCTTAGCAACCCTTTGCCTGCTATCTCAAAGACACTCCTAGTTTGCAGCAAAGCAGGAGATAGGTCCCTAAAATAGAAATTTCAGATTTTCCAGTGTTAGCTTCAAAAATGGCGTTCTACTCACTTTACTACAAATTCCATATTCGTCTCTTCCCAAATCTGTTTCAGAGCTACATGGACAACTCCATCGTTTTGAATTGGACTGAGTGAGCATGTAGAGTATACAACAATACCACCTCTTTCTACCAATTTCAAGGCATTTACTAATAACTCTTTCTGTAGTTCTGGTAAATTCAATCTCTCTTTTATTCTTGAAGGTTTAAAAATGTTGTTTTCATTTTCATGTAGAGAGTGACGATCTGTTGTACAAGGGACATCAACCTAAAGGAATAATAATTTACAAAAAAAAACATAATGGAGATAAATACCTACGAGGATTCTGTCATATTCTTCTTCAGAAATGATTCTTCCATCTCTATTGGTCAGCCGAATCTTGCCAGTTTTCACCCATTTCTCTTGAAAATCATATAAAAATTGACTGTAAACACTTCGTACTCTGTTCAACCTTGAAAGCGATGAATCATTTGAAACCACAACATCTGGGAAAAAAGTTTGTAAAGCTAGAAGACTTTTCCCACCAGGTGCAGAACACATATCTAGAAACCTATTTCCTGGCCTTAGATCAAGAGCTAAAATAGGTAGAATCGATCCTCCATCCATTAAATAATAGTTAAAAACATCTGTGCAGCCCCTTTTGGGCGAGTCAAAATCACTTTTATTGTCTCTCTCATAACAATAAATGTTCAAATGATCTGGGAAGGGTAAATCATATTCTTTTTCCATTTTAACACTAAAATGGGTTTCAGGATCATACATCTTATAGTGATTCGATTCTGGTATGAAATCTTCTCTACCCTTAATTTCTGTAGCAGGTAAGAATTCATGTAATGCTTCAGTTGATAAAGGATCTTTGATATCTATGAGTCTTCTTGTGTCAAATTTGGCTTTCTCAAGACTACTGGCCAATGAAAAATCCGATGCTGTAGGCTTTTCTTGTGCTGCTGATTCATTTGCTTCTTTCTCAATTTTATTTTGTATTTTCTGTTCCAACTCTTCATCTAATCTCAAGATTTTATCCATAGCTTTATTATTCATATTTTTGAGTTTCTCTTCTTTTATGTAGCCCTGTTCTAGACTAAATAATGTCCTCATATTCAAAGCACCAGTCAGTTCCAAGCTTTGCATTGCTTCTGTATCATCACCGAAGTTGTTTATAACAGCAACATATTTCTGCTTACCCAACATAGCCTTTCTTATTCTGAGCCACTTTTCATTAAACACTTGCTTGTAGAAATCGTCCATATGATTCAATGCTTTGTCTATGGGGTGTATTTTTTTACGTAAAATAGACTAAAAACAGGATTATCATAGAAAATTGTTAATAGGAGAACCAAATGAAAATCATACCCAATGGTCTGGTCGATGTTTATAGCGTACGAATTGTTTTGTTTTTTGTGAAACCCTTTTAAATACACTGTACGAAAACATTTTTGTAAGAATAAATATCTGGTGCTGTTTTGACGAAAATGTCGTTTTTGAGGTTATGTAATGTATCCAGAGATAAATGCAGTGTTGCCAGAGCGAAGTTTAAAATATCCGTCACACGTATCGCAAAATTCCGCTCATGCCGCTACGGTCCAAAAATTTAAGGGGGGGGAGGCTTTAAATAAACAACAAATATATTTTTTACATATTTACTTTTTTTAAACACTGTCTAAAAACTATACTAAAAATACAAACAGTAACATAATATAATTGCAATGTTTCGTAAAAACATAAAAAGTATACCTCTAAAAAAACTAAACTGTCTTTGGTTTAGAATTAGGAACTAATAAAAAAATAGAAACTATCACCAATATCTTAATCTTAATATAAAAAAAAACAAAAAATAATGTGGAATGGAAATGCCTACGTTTGCTTATTTTATTCACAGTCAGAATCAGAAATTACTTCTTCTTCAGCTTGTTCTTCCTTATTTACATTATATAAATTCTTTTTATATTTGTTTAAATGATTCTCATTAAAACTATAGGATAAACAGCACTGTTTTTTTGATTCCAAGTCTAATTTAATTGTAAGTATAATGCAGACAAAGTTGATGGTGTTATTTTATTTCTTTTTTTTGTTTTGTAATCAAGCATATAATAAAAAGTTCGCTCAACATCAGCGTTTCCATGAGGCAATGTTAAAATGATTAGAGCCAGTTTACCTATATTGCGAAATAAATATTCGTCATTAAAATTTTTGAGGTTGTTTACAAACGACCAAAATTCAATGACATTACTTTTTGTTTTTAAAATTTCCTCTTTCTCACTATCACTGAAATAAATACATATTTTCTTTAGTTCCAAAATTGCCTTTTCGGTTTCAATATGAAGGGCAATTTTTTTTAAAACAGCGTCATGAAAGGTATTACTTATAATAAGACGATTGTTCATCACATCAACTGGTGAGAGAAACTTTAGCTCTGAAAAGAAGTTGTCTTTGATAGGAAATCTTTTAAGGGACTCTTCTACCGATTTTTGGTAAAATGTGACACATTTTAATTTAAATTGTTCGATTGCCGTGTTATTGCAGTGTTTTATTGCATCCATTGTATGCGGACCAACATTCACTTGTTCAATTGGTAATAAGCAGTGGGGATCATTAGGATTTAGATTATATAATTTCTCATTTTTAAAATATTCTGGTCGCATAAAGTTTGTACATAGATGACGTACAAATCGCTCACTTTCTATTGATATGATATTGAGCATAACTTTCTCTGATTGAAAGAGAGCATTAAATTGGTTAAAAATGGGCAACACGAATTTAAAAAACATTAAATACGCCTTAACAAATGGATTCTGTAACTCATTAAGTATTACATTTGCTACAGGATTTTTGTCTTCAATGGAAGCTAATCTAAATAGGCTAAGCAAGATGTCCCACTGATCCAAAACTCTATCAACACATTTGGATAAAGCAAGCCACCTTGTTTTACTAGGGCTTAAAATTTTTAATTTTGACTTTTTGAAATATTCCTGTAATTCTTCAAGAACACACTGCCTTTTTGGGCTTCTTGAGAAGTAAGAATATAAGTTTTGTAAAAGAGCTTCAACGTTGCTTGGAATCTTTTCAGCTGCCGCCACGGCCACTAAATGAGCAGAGTGGCAAATGCAGCCATTGACAGTTATATTAGGATTATCTTTTAAAAGATAAGTTTTGAAAGATTCGTTATTGCCCATCATAACACTAGCGTTGTCGGAACAGTATCCAACAATATTGGTAATTTTTACTTGATTGGATATAACGCATTTTTAAAAAGAGAATATAAACCTTTGGTGGTACCTTCAACTGCGTTGATTTTAATTATATCTAATAAATGGGTTTTAATTGAATTTTTATGAATATACCTTACAAGAATGTATAGTAGTCTTGTATTGCTCAGGTCTGTACTCTCATCCAATAAAATAGAAAATGGTTTATTTTCCAATTCTGAAATTATTTCGTCTTTAATAACAGGAGCCAGCACATTTTTAATTATACTTATGCATTTGGATCTTTTTAATTTAAGTGAGCTAGAGAGATCTGGGTCTTTAAAACATAATTGACTAACTCCTGTTATATGATCAACAGTTCTAAAACTTATATAATGACTTACAACTAAAAGACTATATCTTAAGCAAGCAATTATTTGCCGTTTTTCCGACTCACGTGCTTCCCAAGACTGAAAAGTGCTATCTAACGTTCTTATATTCGAAATTGCTTGTACATTAGTGGCATGCCTTATTGATTTCGAATGATTCACTAAATCTGATTTTTTACCACCCATTATTTGATTACAAGCTTTACATTTTGCTTTCAACTTGTCATTTTCAATAGGTCCCAACCAACCTTTAAATAACGGATCTTCTAGCCATGATGAAGTAAACATTTGTTTTCGTGTCTTTTTCTTAACAGGTTGCTCTGGCTCTTGGTTATCCTGAGATTCGCAAGTCGAATTATCAGGCTCAGACCTGATTCCACTAGATTCCGCTCTTCTATTTTGTCTGTATTCAGGTTCGGGATGCTCCGAGTTCGACACAGATGCAGTCGTGTGGATGGTACGGCCACGTTTCACCGTTTGTTTTTTAGAAGGATTTTTATCAAAAAAATCGTTAATGGTCTGCTGTCGCCTTTCCATTATTCCTATTTTCCAGAAGAAAAAGCGTTAAAAACAAATTTCGCGACTAAGATTTATTTCTGGATCAAACTATAATATGTTAGATATTTAAGCAGTTTTGTTACTTACCAGTAGATTTAATATTAAAATCTGCAGCAAATGATATATCAATAAAATGATCAACACAAGAATAAGAACACTAATATAAGCGAAACTAAACAGTATATACCCAGAGCTGAAAAATACAATACAAAGCGAGAAACCTAATATTATGTCTGCCTGCTGAGACCTGTTAGAAACGATTAGTATTGAAAATTGAAAGCAGTACGTGCGCCATCTGTTATTGAAAAAAAAGGCAAGTGGAATAATTCTCTTCTCTGTTCCTAGATGGCTCAAGCGGCACCAAATGCACCAATTTTATTATTAATGTGATAATAAATCAGACTCTAGCCACTGCCTATTTAGGATTTAGAACGTTATTAACGTTAAAACAGTGAAATAAATATGATAGTTTTGTATGTAATAAATTCCGCTACATTTTGGGCTAATTTGCTCTACCGCCGCTACGCCGCTCTTCTCAAAATAATTCGCTACAAATAGCGGAATTCCGCTACGTATGGCAACACTGGATAAATGTATGCCACAAAACATAAACCTTATTTCACGAGTATCCATCTCGCTTTGAGGTGAACAGCTGATCACAAAAGCGACATCTTTGTGTCAATTTGTAACGTTGGCAATAATGAATTTCGGGACCGTATTCAGAGCTGTTGTTCACATATAAGGATTATACTTTTAAGTGGATGGGAACTGTAACAATAAAATGTACCAGTACAGATATGGAAAAGTTTATTAGAAAATTATTATAATACATCTGGGATTTATTGATTACATGGTATGTCAATAGAACAGTTTGCGTCGTCTTTTCCAGACGCTGTGAATTTACCTGTAAAAATAATATAGACACGTATTTCTGGCTTATTGTCTGCCATCAGTGTAACGTAATTCATCAAAAGCACATAACTAACCACATCAAAGATAATACATTCACCCAAAATCACGAAAACGACCCACCACCATGCCATATTAGTGTGATACATCAAATGATCATACCGCACTCAAACAGCAAAATAAAAAAAAGCGTATTAATTAAATATACTTCCTGGAATTTCCCATTTCCTCGATATATAATGATGGCATAGCAACAGTTTGCTGACTTGGTATATCCTTAAGCATATGTTACTCTCTTTGAAAAAATTATAAACTACGTTTCCGTTTCCTTTGGATTTTTGCAGAGTTCTCAACATTTGGCCATGCCTGTATTCTCGAACACTGCATTGTCCCAGTTGTGTACATTTCATGACTTCCTGCAATCGTTACTTACATGTTTCTATTTTATCACTTGTTAGAATCACCCGAGTCATGTTCAGACCTAATTGAGGGAATCGAACATCTACACGTCATATACTTCCACACATTCTTCTGAACTGAATATATGGCTGTTTCATTGCCCTTTAAGATCATATGGTGTTTCAAGTTCTAAGGAGTACTATAACTAATAGAGTCAAAAACTGTTTATCCTATTTTATTCCTACCTGACTTGAAATGTAGTCATGGTCATTAGCAGCCATTGTGCTTGTAGCGTTTCTTCCCTATGCAAAGAAACTTTTTTAAATAAAAAAAAAAGTACAAAATGAATCTGTAGCGTACAACAAAATACGGGTCTGCCTACCTGGAGTTCACCGATCCGTCGGAATTAATTATGTGTCCTGTGTCGATATGGGGAATTTTGAAATATTACTAGATAACTATAGCTGCCATTGTTGCGTGATGAATACTCGTGAAATAGGGTGCATATACTGTAATCGAATTCACGCGAATAACCAAGTGAAAATGGTATTTACCGATCCGTTCAAGCGAGTGTGGTTATCAGTTTGGTTATAAGATCCGTGACGTTATGAACCAGCTGTTATATGTCATAGTTATCACCGTAAAATTGTGGTACTTACCCAAACCCAACTCAGGAGTAATTTTATATTTCTGGTTATTATTTGAAATGTGACAAGTTAGAATTTTGCCGTGTATTGGATATTTTTATTGTACTTCAGCTTCATTTTTGGGAAACTTGATACAGGCTGACTTCATTTTTAGCATAAAGTAGAGCACCTTATTAGTTATAATCATTACTGTTGTTGGGGACACTTTAACCCTTAACTACCGTAGTGCAGAAAGTGTAACGTCATTAACGTAGTACGGTCTCAGTGACCGCACATTACTAACAATCTCAAGTACAAACAATAAAATATTTTGAGTGTTTTAAATATTCAGGCAGAGTAGAATAAGGCCTGAGATAACACATAACATATAATTTTTACTATACTTCATTTAAAAAAATAAAAACATCGAACATCATTCACTTCGACATATTTTTACACAAATTCCTTATCTTA